AGGCGAAATTAATTTCTCAATTGAATTGAATAGAATTAATTTTTTTTAATCATTCTTAATTATTTCCTTTTAATTCCATTAATTTCACTGCGCTGGAATTTAATTTTCACTGAAAGCGTATTTGAAAATTTTTTGGGGTATAAATACGTTGACAATCATAAATTTTACGAGTTACTCTCGAAAACTTTTCCAACCGTAATTTCCACGCCATTTTCATGATATTTTTTTTATCCGTTTTTATCACCGTGAAAAATAAATCATCAGCCACCTCTAAACACACCCCAGCAAGATATCCGTTAATTTCCCCGTGAATCAGAAATTTTCCCACATTTAAACTGAAAAACCCGATCGATCCACCGCATTCGCAAGTTGCAAAAGATAATGTAACGAATGTAATATTTTTTATCTCCTCAAAAATACTTGAGACGAAGATAGAATAATGAAATCGGGGGAAGGTGAAATACAGTCGACTGCATCCCCACCTTTCCACTCGAAGAAGCTGGATGCAGTGAAAGGGTGGAGGTAGAAGAGAGAGAGAGAGAGAGAGAGAGAGAGGGGTTGGATGAGTGAGAGAGTGAAAAGCGCTGGAGGAATTCCCCTCTCACGAGTTTATAGTGGGTACCCTCGTGTACAAAGTGAGACAGAACGAGATACAGCGTTAGTGTGGGATATCGGAGTGGTGACTCTATCTGTGTGATAGTACACACCGAGAGTAAAATCCCGCGGCGTTTGTGGCAGTAGGAGAACTACGAAACGGGGTGTGTAGGCACCCCTAACGGATACCGGGCCCCGCCCGTCATATTCCAAGAGGGCCAATCCAGCGCCGAGGCTTTATTAGATCCATAAATCCATCATATCCATCTAGACGGCACTCGTAGAGGCTCTTCTCATTGGCTGAGGTTGCTATAACTGTGTCACTCTCTTTCCTCACCCTTTCAATTTTTTTTCTCCAAGAGTCAATGATAGAGGTGGGAGTCCAGTTTGATAGCACAGCCTTGATGGATTTCTTCAGCTGCATTGCAGAGGTTCTGATGACAGCCCATTTGCTCCTTGCCAATAAACCAATTGTCCATAAACCATTTCATCTTCAATAAATCATCGTGACAGCAGTGATTCATCAATATGATGAGACATTTATCTTATTTTTTTTTCTCCTGTTGGGGTTTTGCAAATTATCATCACTATATCACTGGCGATTTAATCGTCGTTGAGTACTCGAATACGTCATCATGATGAATATGACTTGAGAGATGTCTCATCACAAAGACTTGGAAAATATCTGAAAAGTCGGATGGTCCAGTGAGATATGTGGAAAAGGGGAGAAAACCCATCGTGACAGGGTGTGATGCGCGCGCACATTTCATCCCCTGAATCGTCTCACAGAAGTGCCTACTAGCGCACATCGGTGACCACTGTCCACTACTCAGCCATCTCTCTTCCTCATTACGTGGAGGCCCTGAGTTCCTTCAAATATTTTTCCAACTTCTCGATAAAATAGTCAATTGACGAAGTAACGTTCCTCCTCCCGGAATAAATGACTGATATCCAGGAGAGAATCCAGGAGTAGTAAGGATAGACAGGACTTCACCACAAATACAGATGTGAAGTATATACCGGAGAGAAAGGGACAAGGACCATCGGGTCCTTGACGGACACGAGGATCAATATCCTCCAATACCATACTCCTCTTCTCCTCGCCGTTTTTTTTTCTCGACTATATACAACGGGAAAACCCATTCCCACCGCCAATAAAACGCCATACCTATGTGTATTGTACTATACGGCGATTCTTTTTCCCTCCACCCAGCGGCTTCCTATTGGCCGTAAAACACTGGCCGGCTGAAAGGTTGAATTTTATCGCGAGAAGAGAAATATCGATGTAAAGGCAAGGGGGAGAGAGAACTTGAAAAATAAAATAAAATGGAAAGAAAGGGGGTTAAAAAAAAAAAGAAGGAGTTTTTGTGAGAAAGGAGGCGAAGTGGAGAATGGGTAGATATATAGATAGTTGAGAAAAGAGTATGGTCCAACTGTTTTGGAGTTGGTGTTGGAAATACGCGTACAATCCAACTTTTGGTGAAGACGTGCTGGAGGATGTGCGGGCCAGTACAACCAGGCTATCTTGCTTTGAAAATAATTCAACGACTGCTGGAACGAGAACGATTGAATACTGGATGGGTCCTCGGATGCTTTTCAATACCCTTCGGCCAACTCCACACGTACAGACATCAACCCCAAGTCTATAGCTGAATCGTGCCTACTTCTTGAAACTGTTGAAAATACAGTGCTCAAGGAGGTAACATGTTGCTCGGTATAGAGAACGATGGAGTGAGGATCGAGTGACACAGGGTCGAAAGTCACCCACGCAAGTGACGATTGAAGTGGTAGGATGGGGCTTGAAACTTGTCCAATAGTAACCACCATGGGCACTTGGAGACCAGGACGACGACCTACTTGTTCCAGAGGACCTCAAAGCTGTACTTTGGCGATAGTTTGGGGTCTGGGGAATTGTTGAAAAGTTGAAAATTTTCAACTGAGAGTCATCGATGTCGATCAAACCACCAAAAGTTAAAATAATAATGATGAACGTACAAAACCAGGACGCGTACAACCGTCCCTGACGAGACAAAATTCATCAGAGGCGTTACCAATTCCATAATTCGCACTTGCGTAGGTGTAAACCCATCATATGAATATTACAAAGTCAAGCGCTATTGGACGACATAATCCTCCAATCATAAAGCCCCGAGATATATCCATTCTATATAATATGATATTATCATATCGCGCTCGAGTTATTATTGGTCGGTCTCGCTATGCCCTACCCTCATCTACCTCCTACTCCTTATCCTTTCGCGGCTCTCCCCCGCTCTCATTCTTCGGAGTCAACGGATACGGCGCTGCTCTTGCCTGTACTCCAGCTCTCTCCCTTTCCCCGCTTTTATCCACCCCCGCTATTTCTCTCTATCCAACACCTCTCTCTTATATATCTCCCCTCTCAGTCACTGTACCTACCTCCTCGACGCATACGCTACTCGAGTTGGAGACCGACGTAGAGGTGGGGCTCTCGACGCGCCGCATTTTCTCCCTCCTCTGCCTTCCCCTTTTTGCTATATACCGGCTTCACCGAATTATGAGGATCAATACGCGGGAGAGAAGCTTGCAAGACCAGCGCCGACGCTACTCTATCGCCAGTCTCCAACAACCACGGACCACCATCATCCCCTCGGACACCTGCATCCCCTCATAATTCCTCATCCTGGTATACACACCATTCATCCAGAAAATCTCAATCTCCATTTCCTTTTCTTTATCTCAAGACCATTCTTCCCATCCGGGCTTTTATCTACGAAATTTTGGAGGCAGCGGTAGGACAGATTCAGATATATGCAACGCGTGACCGGCATATCATATCTTCAGGATTGCTGTGTACTCTACGTGTATGTTATATACAACAAATGGCAACGGTTTCCAACAATCGATATCTGCCACCACACGAGCAACTCGTATATGCTCTCAACCTCGGTGCGGCACCGACTCAAACCAAGCCAACCCCCCTTTTACCTGTTATCTCCATCTCCCTCCGATGTTTGAGGGAATCGTCAGTGCTCTGTCTCACTTGGTAGTTCTATCTGCACTGTCGTCACACCGTACAACCACCACAAACTACCCAAACCTCCCAAGCCCAAAGTCCGCGTTTCACTTTGTGTCTACAACGCGCTACCGACAAGAGCCCTAGCCCAGTAACCATTGTCGCTCAGTTGCATTGACTTTTTTTCCAATGCTTTCTTTTTTTTATTTCGACAAGCACGCTACTTGTTGCATAAAATTAGAGGTGAATTTTTCTGGCCGAATGGAACGACGTTTTAATGACAATGATTATCGTCGGTGATGATGACAATATTTTGAGTAGAGATATCGTCCTTAGGAAATGACATACGGAAATCCATCCAATCCTTGAATCATCGAAGGCAATACGAATTGAACTAAAATAAAAAGGCCAAGTAACGTGTGTCCGGACGTCGGAGAGCATTGAAGCGAACGGATCGCGAATGGACGGATGGACCATGCGGGGCGACGCCCGGGGGCTAAACGAGTGGAGACAATGGGCACGGAGACACCGAGGCGAAACTGCACATCCAAGAGAGAAAAACTGAGAGGGACTCGCGGGGTGGAAGGAGAGAGTGACTGCTCACGAGGGGTTGGAGAGCGTAAAAGAGTGAGAGTGGATGAGAGAGAGATGAACGATGGGTGGACATGGGTGCTCGCCTGAAATAGCCTCAACTGGACAGCCACGACGACTGGCTGGACCTACCTACTTTTATATCGCCAGGGAAATAATGGGATTCCCATCATGAAGTGGATTTCCCCTGGGAGCGGTGGACATCGATGCACGCGTCAAGAGATCCTAACGCCGTATTCCATCGGTCTCACGTTCTGTTTTATTTTCTGTCCAACTTTTTTTTTTTCGGCTTTTTTTTTGGACTGGGCAATTCTCTCTCACTCGCCAAATTCAAGCCAGCGTGGATCTCCCACCCACCCTCACCCATTCACCTGTCCGAATGCTACATGTGATAGCCAACCTGACCGTATGAGAAACCGGCATCTAACAACCACCAATTATCGCTTACCACCTGTCCGGGGTAATTATTCGACGTTCGGGATTTCAAAGGGGTTCGAATGATTTTTTAATTTGAATTTCGTGGAGTACAAACGAGTACCTGATAGTTTGGGAAAATTGCTCCGGTAATTCACCTTAAGGATTGATTGACGTGTTGTTCTAGTCTTGTGTGGGAATTTGGGAAGGGCTGGGATATCTTTCGGAAATACGGGGAAACCCATTGCGCGAAGAGCGGCACGGGAATTCCAACGAGTGATTATTTCCATTCCTGTATTACCGACCGTCGAGATAAAACTCACATCCGCGAAATGAAAATCTAGATTTCCATCATGAGTTAGCGAGTTAAAAAGATGTCAGGTCTTTTTCTGTGCTCGTCGCAGTCGAGAAAAAAGTTTAAATTCTTTTATTATACAATATATATTCAGATAATATACATCGAGATATTAAAGCTAATTATTCATAACCATAAATATAATATCTATAGAATATATTAATAATTTATCAAGACGCAAATTTCATTCAACAAGAATATAACAAGGTAATAAAATCCAGAGGTTTAATCGAGGTATCCCCGGCTAACCAAAATATCATTCGTCATTATTGATAAGACTATTTTAAAAAACGTCTAAAAAAATGCGCGCTCATTATTGAAAGAACATTAGTAGAAATTCGATTTCTATTGATAAAGTCAAAAGACCGGAAGATCGAATTTCCAAAATAATAATCATAACAAGCCATAATAATAGTATTAATTCGTAAAATTTGAAGACATTTAAATTGGAGTATTGAATTCCGATAAATATTGACATTGCAAAGAGGACGAGTAATAATAGACACCGACATTATAAGTCCTGAAGTCCTGCAATTCCTCACCCCATCATCTCTACCCTCTCAATATCGAATACATTCTAACCGTTGACCCCCAGTCTACCCCGTCTATGCCACCTGTTCATACTTGGCTTTATTAATATTACTTGCGAGACAGCAAGCGAGAAAAACTCCAACAAGCGGGAAAAATGCTACACCAACAGCACCCCCTGCTACTAGACCGATGTTGGAGTTGATGAAGTCAATTACTCGATTGTAGCAGCCCTGTGATAAATAAATGTCAATAACCCTGACAATGACTATAAAAAAAACCATCAAAAGACGTCAATTTACCTGAGTGTAAATATCGCTGTCAATAGTGATATCGCAGAGGTCCTCTTTTATTTTGCAACAGGACTTGGGAATGTCCTGTGGAGGCTTTAGATCCATCCAGTCAGTGGAGGCTCGATTGCCACAGCAATGGAGCTGCTCGGAAATGATAATGAAATTACGTCAATTTAATTTACTAAATTCCCGAACTTGACATGGTATTTTTCAAGCCTAAGATCGCGGTACATCGAAGAAACCATCGATATATCAACAATCATAACGATCTGAACATGATCTATCGCTTAGACTGCCCTCATACAGAAGTTGACATTTCGTTTACCGTTTTTTGCATGGCATCGACATGATTTTGCGTCGAGATATCAGTGGCGTAATGAGCCAGTGTCTGGTTCAATCCCTGATCAAAGCTATCGACAAGACAATTACGATATGTGTAGATCGACGCACCCGCTGCCAATTCCAGGAGAGCAATCACCGCTAGGAAAGCTCCGTACTAAAAAGGCAATCACACATGATGAAATTTGACCTAGGTCAGGAGTCAGTGAATTTGTCAGGAGTCGAGTAAATTTTCCCCATAGATCGCTGAATAAACAAACCCCGGGGTGATGTAACGAAGCGATCAATATCCCTCACCACGTATAATAAGGCTGGATGTCCTTTAGCGGTGCAGCAACAGGCGAGGGTCGCGATGAGGGCAACGAGGGCCCCAAGACAGGCCAAGCCCAAAAGTGCAGCTCCACTTCCTTCAGCCCCCATGTCAACGTAATCGCGTAACTGCATCCGCATCCATATCCCGGCAACTAGCATTATCATTCCACTGCACTGGAATCCATATTGATAACACCGTGGTAATTACACGATTTTTCGTACGAATTGATGGATTTTTACTGAATGGACTCACCCAGAAGACAAAATTGAAGAGCATCAGCAATGTTGTCATGCAAGCCATGGCGGCTATTGTCTCGAATCTCTTTCCCATGATGGTTTACGTGATGGTTTGATATTCGTAACCCTTGAAAGAGGCTCTATTACGGCTGGACTACTACTCGCGAATAATCGATTTCGCGGGCGAAAGCTTGTGTTGCCTGTGTGACCCTGGACACCAGCGCATGCGTTTTTACAGTACGCGATGAACAATGAGGGATTAATCTAATAAGGGTCGAGTTACAGAGTAAGACGACCGACTCGAGAGACAATTTTTTTTAATACGCCAATTTGCGGATTATGATGTAATGAATGAAACTTCTGAGACATCAATAATTGAGCAGAAATTCAATGGTTTTATCATAGTTTTTATAAAGTTCAATACATTTTTATTGAAGACGAGTATAGTCAGACTTAATTAGGGATTAACCAATTAATTGAAATACAAAAGTATAGAACCGTAGATGGAAGGCCATAGGAGTTCATCACTTTAAGAGAAAGTATTACTTGACTTTGATGACTCGATTATGGGAAGACACTACGGCAGGATCGACGTGGCTTGCTGTATAAGTGAGAAGGACCCCGGGCCAGGATATATTACCCTCCCCACAGACCATCGGTCGTCGCACAACCTTCGGAGATCGTTTTGTCCTAAAACTCAGAATCCTCGTCACACTCTGAGGTTTCAATTCCATCGATTTGTTACTTACGGAGATCTGGCCCATAACATTATTGTTCCTCTGATCTTCCTGATCGTTCCGTAGATCGATAACCTCGGGCTTGTCCTCGGGCAAATTTTTCTCCATCTTCTTGTGAAAATCGACGACAGACCAAGAATGGGTCCTGTCGTTATCACAATCCTCCGAAGAGTATTGGTCCAAATAGTCCCAACGGACTTCCCCATTGGGCATTACTACCATTTGGCGATCGGTGGTGATACCTCTAGTGGAGTTGTTCATCACTCGCACGTCCCACTCCACCTTCTCATCATCTGAACACCGATCGCCATCCTGTTGACATCCAACATTTTCTCCACTCTTGCTTCTCCTAATGTCCCCGATGGTCTTGAAGTAAATACTGTGATCGTACCGATAAGTCTCTAAGCAGTTACTGTCTAATTTGCTGTTGGATTGGTAATTAAAGGTACCGCAGCAGTTGAGTCTTCTCGCCTCGTCAGGCGATCGCTGCTTCAGTCCCCCTGATCGTCTCAGAAACTCTGAGTCCCTCGGTATATATCGATCCTCATCATCGTCCAATCCATCGCCAAAGGCCAGACGGCCCCTCGATAATTTTTGGGACCTCAGGCGATTGTAGCCTCGCGCCAGGGCCGCCCATCTCTCTATTCTCTGAAGGAGGTACTCACTCTCTTCACTCCACCACTCGGACAAACCCTTCTGAATCTGTACACCTTCTTCAGACATCGAGGCGACTACCATTCTTGGATAGATTTGTTTTCCTTTTGAGGTCTCACTACAGGAAGGAAGATGCGGTGAGCGGCTGGCGATAACGAGTGCAACCGGGAATGGCTTGCAGCGGTTTTTTATACGAAAAAAAGAGGAAGCTGTAGAAATACCAATTCCTTTTACGGATTCATAGGGTGGGGACTGCGACCGTGACCTCCACGTCGTTTTCCATTATGAAAGAGGGAGGGTAAAGGATCGGGATTATTATGTAGTTGACGATTGCTTGTGCTGACTTTTATGTAATGATGATTGGATTTCTGTGGGATTGACGCGGTTTCTGGAGAAGAATATAGCATGCGCGAGAAAATCTAATCGAAAAGTATCACACGTTTTTGAGAATTCATTATCGGCGGATACTGACAAGTAATTTTCACCTGCATTCATTAATTATAATGAAGATGGGAAATCGATTGGAAATCGATAGATGGCAAATCTTCCGATCAATCATCGTTTAAAAATAGATGATTGATCGGATTAAAGTGGTTTTTATCATGGAAAAAGGTAAAGATGCGTCGAAAGTGACAGCATAATCGTGCACCACTCGATCGAAGATGGGCAAATTGGATTGAATAATTTCAACAAGAAATTTTCCTTCGAATCTAAACGATTCGTTTAGCATTTATATGGCATATACGAGTATTAATATTCCATGTACATTCGGTTAAGTACTACATAATAATTCTTCTGTAACATGTATATTTCATTCATAGACTATATAGATAATAATCAAATAATTTAATAAACGGCATTAACAGACTAGCATCGGTAAACCGCAATTGTTTATCCCGAAACGATTTACAATCACGTAATTGAGGCTGAAATCATTAGGAGTACAACTATTTTCAACTAATGATGATGAAAATATAATATCAAGTATTATTTTTTTGATTAAATGAAGAATTCTTGACGACTAAAATAAAGCATAAAAACGTTTAATTCAAGTAAAATTTTGATCACATGATAATGATTAAATAAATGTATCAAGTTCATAATCACTCGTAACTCCATACCTTCATGCATAATTACCCTTTTGCGTGGATTAATGTACATCTGGCAACAGTATATATACAAAAAATATATGCCTCTATGGGACTTAGACTATGACGTAATAGTTTTTAAAATCAAGTACCATGAGCCTTTTAAATTAAAATAACCTTAAATTACTGATGTATTTATCTACGAAACCATGAAAATTTTAACGGATAAAATTGAGCGGATATTTACAAAAAGTAAAAACTGAAAAATCATAAAGTCAAGGGTAAAAACAGTTTCCACTTCATCTTGTTTATGAAAGTGATTAATCTAGTTTTATCTTGACCTACATGACTCATCCTCTCGTTTCAATGATATTTATAGCACAGATAAAATGGCCTTATAAAACTCTGAAAAGTTTAAGAAGTCACTAAATGTTAGTCTTTGATATCCAAGTGTTCTTACTGCGAAAATATTCAAGTATTCAAGTTGGGGGAATTTCTCGGATAAATAAAGGGATTTTTTAAGGTACATTGGGCTTGCGATATCTCTTGTCATCGATTAAGATTAGAATGAGAATTTCCTGCAGTTTAATACGCACGTTATCCCGAAAATGGGTCAAGACTCGTAGATGAGACGTTGGTAATGGGGGAATATCTCCCACGTGGGTAAGTGGAGACCAAATTCAAGGGCAACTAGCACAGCAAATTCCGAAGTGATTAGGTCCTTACGATTTAAACGAAAAACACTTTCCGTTCTCTGCAATAAAAATTTTTCGGAATTAATAATTGTTAAAAAATTCCATGAACAATCGGAAAATGTTTAATCATGAATTAAAGAACCCAATTGCATATTCTTAGAATTCTAAGGTATTAATCCCAGAATATTCTCAGAATTTGCAATTAAATTTTTATCTTGATAAATTATCTCGACTCAGCAGTTGACAGAATCAATTATGATGATGGGAATAGTTTACTGGTGGCTTACCTCAATAAGCGACTTAAGTACATCTCCTTTGACGTCGTTGAGCTTAGCAGCCAGGAGTAAACAAGCACCGGCGCAGAGTTTCCTAGTTTGTTTTGTCACGACGTTTCGCAGTATCAGCTTTTCGAAGTACACGTATGCCATTGCGACTGTCAGAATGTCAATGCCGTATTCCATTTTCGCTATTTTACGCATTTCCCGTTTTAAACTGAAGCAAAAAGACAAAGACATTTTTTTTCTACGCATTTCCATCACGCAAAATTTATTTTATAATATATGGGGATTACCTATAGAATTATAAAAATAGATGAATCATGGGATATAGAATGAATAGAGAAATTGTTTTGAACGCGCAGGCATTCAATATTTATTTTTAAATCCTTACCTTCGCAATTTGCTGAGCGTCAGTTGAATGTGTGGGAACTTCTCTTTAAACTTGTCATTCAACTCCTTCTTCAAGTCCGAAGGCCGCACGTAATCAATAACGGACGCCTGAAATATTCAAAAGATTAGTCAGCGAATTGGCATGAATTTTTTCAAATGACAATTGTTTATTGACACCATACCATATACGATGTGAATGTTAATAGAGTCCGGTGTTTTCCAGCTATCAATTCAGGATCATCCAGAAGATTGGGATTGTACTGGAGAGTCTGCTCGTCCCACTCAATAACTAGATACCATGAAATAAGAGAATAATGAAATAGAAGATCGTCGTAGAATTGAAATGCTTGAGGATATTGTAATTTCACCTTTCGACTCGTTCACTAGAGACAACGGTGGAGATTCCGGAGGCATATGAGTCGGTCTGTGAGTCGCCGTGTCATAGGAGAGACACCTGAAACAAATATCGCCACGTCACACTCGTATTTCCATTGAGGTAACCATCAACAATGCATTTTTTCCGTTTGGAAACTCAATCTGGATAAAAATTGTGATTTTCTGATGCCAAATTAATAATAATCAGATATCAGTGCCCATTACCCCAGTGATAAAAAAGCAATTGATGAGAATCAGCAGAAAGATAAAACTCATGCACAAAAACAACAGTCAAATCCGTTCCAAATAATCATCAAATAAATAAGATAAAAATATTGGAGAAATTTTCCGTTGTGGAAAATAGCATTTGGTTACCACTTTGTGTGATCCAGATTCCACGTTATTGTTTTTGTCCTGGAAAAAAATCGGAACGTGTCTGGCATTTCGATAAATGACTACTTAACTGATTAAACTAGATTAATTTCATTAATTGAATTAATTCATCAGTAATTCCATAACGTAAAGAGTCAATTGGATTTTCAGAGGATATCTCTAAATCTGAGGGAGATAGGGAAATTTTCGTGAGGATATTTTTTGAAGCTCGTGTTTCACTGTACAAAAAAGATCCCGAGGAAATTTTTCGTATCTTCTTTGGATGCGGAGATATGATCTGAAAATGGAACCTCGACAAAAGGAAACTTGTTACTTCAATTATGACTCATTATTTGAATACATTAAATTGGCATCGGATAATGAGAGATAGTACCTGGATACTACATGATGTTTATTCGTCATGACTTGGGAGAGCTCGATGGCCTCGCTGTCACTGAGGTGCAGCCTCTTATCGCGCTGAAACTGCCTCGAAGGCACCAATAATTGACCGTATGATATCTCTTGACCGTCCTTCCCATGTTCAATACCCAAAAGACCGAATGGGTCCAGATTATCATTTATTGCGGACAGAGGACGAGGTCCTGAGGTATTTCTCCGACGTCCCGTATCCCTGCGTACGTCAGACCTTAATGAAAATCGTGGAATCGATGAGAGGATTGACAGCACAATTAATCCTCGACAATCACTATTTTTCCTTCTATTTTTCTAATTATCCGGAAAATCACTGAGTTTAGAGAAAAATCTCAGGACTATTACATTCCGAAAAATAAAATATCCCATAAAAAAGTTCAATGACTTTAAACTGATAATCAACTCATTAATCAACTCATGAGATAATCTTTAAACAGTTAATGAATATTTTTTGACATTTCAATGATCAACGCATTTATTCACTCAGACGTTTGTCTTTACTGCGGCCTATGTTGCATCCACAATTATCTGTCTATTACGATAATTAGTGATAAAGTTAGAACATTTAGAACATCTACGGAGGAGATTAGACATTATTTGATACCTGCGTAGAATACGATTAGAAACCGTGGTGTTTATGAAGCCAGTCGTGCTACACGATGTACTTATGCTGCTCATAATAATCCAAGAGATAAAATCATTTTAATGTCTCGTTAGGTTCATCAATGAGACATGATATGAGGACTCGTTAAACTAATGACAATGAGACCTTAATGATTTGCACCACAAATTATTATAAAACCCACACAAAGTACATTTAAAAAAAAAAACTCCCTCAAGGAAAATTAATGGAAATCAAAGATCATGTGATTTTTCTCGCTATGAATAAACGAAATAAAACTCACCAGCTCGTGCGTTGATTCTTGTTGTAGGGCAATGCTGAAAAAACAAGGAATGGCACGCGTTTGGAGGACACCAGGACCAGTCTATCATCCCCAAATCGTTGGCCATTGATCGGTCGTTGCATCATACGCAATTCCCTCGTTACTTCAGGTATGATAACAGCATTTCCACATAAAGGTTGAATATTATTCAACCCTTTGACCTTCGATTTAGAATGGGATTTAGAACGCAACGAGCCAATGCTCTCGTTGCTGCTGTTGTAGTGGTGTTTTATGTCCTCTGAGAGGGTTGACGTCTGGTGAACGATGCGTCGTTTGTAGTGGAGAGAGCCAACTCGTCTCTCAGGAAGGGAATAATCACTTCCAGCTGTTCCAGCCCTAAAATAACAGCGAAAAGTCAAAAAAGCTTGAACTCCGCATTAACCGCGATTATATCTCGTCGATGAGCAAATTTATTGAAAAAAGTCATATAGAATTATATGTAGAGCATCTAATTTCAGACAGAAAATCCCTTTGACATTTTTCTTCACATCCACCGGCTCCGGAAAGAACAGCAAAACTCTGCCGACGCATATTTTTTTCACCTGAATTACATAATGTTCCGTGATTACGGAATTATCTCGTTAACGCGCGGTCCACTCGAAAAACGTCAGAGGGCTTTTTTATAGTTCTAGTAGTGTCCCGCATGAAATTCTTATGACTTTTTTCTGTGAATTCAGTTTCCGGTGAGATATGGGGGAAAATAACAAAAAATTTAAGATAAATTCTGACCTCTCCCTGAACGACCCGTGAATGCTTGCCAAAAGCGGCTGAATTCTCTCATTATCCACAAGTGCTGATACATTGACTCTTCCACTGCTCGATATGCCATCGGAATCCGAACTAAACGAGTAATGTTCAACAATTTTCTGTGCAACTTCAGGGGTCTCTGCTTCCCTAATGTGTAAAATATCTGGCAGGCCATCAACAGTTTCCTCGGCCGATGTGTCAGCATCGCACTGTGTTACACAATTTTTCGGCACATCACTGTGCAGACGCCTGTGTATAACACCGTTGTGGGGTAACAGTGATAAATTAGTGTCTCGATGACTTCCATCGAGTGATATATTTGACAAAAATGTTAGCGCAGCAAGTCGTCTACGTGAATGATTCTTCTTGAGGGCTGCTGCCATTAAGAGAATTATTATTGAGCCTTCGCTAGTTATTAATTTCTCAATCCTCAATTTTTAGTCCAATTTTTGATTTTTCTATATTTTTCGTGTTGCTTCTTCTGTTTCGGGTGAAAAAAATGAGTGAAAAATTTCGCCTGGGTCCTCTTCTTCTTTCGTTGAGACGTTCTAGTGTTAATTCGTTAAAGTAATGCCCTAATCACTGATTTATTCACTAAATAAGAGGTAATATGGATCACAATTCATTGTCACCGGTGAAACACTTAGTTCTTGCGTTCATCACTGAATTTGCACGTTGGGCGTACAAGTTAATCTCCATTTTAACAGTTTTAATGACAATTAGCATGCGATTTTATTATTCAACAACACCGGAACGTTACCGATCGACTGGGGCTCGTTCACCTCGCAATCGCTTTTACGCAACACGAAAACACGAACTCGTTTTCATTGGGGTGATGGGAGAGAGGGATTTTATCGTCCAGCTGGTATCGACCAATCCCATTTTAGAGAGAACGTAGGGATTTTTATTTGAAGCGAGACTTGACAGTTCAAAATTCTGGAAACTCTAAATTTTTCCATTTTCGGTCATTTCTTTATATTATCACTGGATATTATTAAACAAATCATGTCCTTTATAGTCAACAGTTTCAATTTTTACTGCGTGAAATTTCACGGCGTTTATTCAGTTCTTATCAGCTGATAAGAAATGATAACGAGCCACTATTCAAATATTCTAGATTTATTTTGGAGCAAAGTCCAGCAGGAAACTAATTCTTTCCCCGATTTCTCACAAGTCAGTCGAAAAATTGATATATATATTTAAAAAAAAGTAATCAATAAAGCAAACATCAACTCATCATTAAACATCAATAAAAAAATGACAGAAAAATTCCCTAAACTCCGGAGTTGGTACAACACTGATAAAACGGTTTCCTTTCCGCTTAAGTCTCCAGAATTTATCACTAGCCCCACCTCCTCCCAAAACATGTCCCCAATTTTCCCTTCCCTCTCCCCGGAATTATGCTGATTTCGATAAGTAAATAAATCAATCCAATAACTGAAGAAATTTGTAACTCAAGACTGAAAATTACCGTGAAGGCATGGATAAAAACCGAATTAATTTAAATCGAGTTGCACAACTTGTATTTGTCATTGTTAATATTTTTTCATTTGTCAGGGTCACGCCTGCAATGACGTGTAGCAGTTGGTCAGGAGTTCTGCTGTGAGCTACATACGATATGATAAGCAGTAGTTTAGAGAATTTGAGAGGATCTTTATGGGGATTTCGGTGGATTCGAGCGGGAAGAATTCAGACTGGGGGAAAATGGTCCTGAGGAACTTGGGAGGTGCCAGGTGGTGGTTCAGATTCACCGTTATAGCACTAGCTGTTGTTTTTCTCTGGATATTCGTGCGAAATGACAGGATTGACGAGGTAATTCATCAGTTTAAAAATATCAAAGGTATCCTGATGAGATGGGATCAATAATTACAGTGGCAATAAGAGAAGTCATTAGAAAAAATCATGAAAATTTTTCAAGTGCATGTAAAGTGAGATTTATGCATTTTATCTACTTCGCGAATGTTCCAATGACTCAGGATCCCTTAAAAATATTTTTTACTTGCATTTGGATCATTCATGAGATAATCCACAGGTGAGAGACTTTGGGAAACTATCGGTGATGCCCAAGCCAAGGATAGAAGTAGAGAAAGTTAAAATTGCAGTCTACTACGAGGCACTTTGCCCGGATTCGAGAAGTTTCGTTCTCCGACAGCTAGTGCCAACATATCACGAGATACCTGACAACGTAGTCGTGCAAATGATTCCATATGGAAAGGCCACGGTGCGTAAACAATAAATGATTTTTTACGAGACGACACGAGAGATAAGTTCAACCGAATATTCATTATTATGGTTTTGTTTTCCAAAATGAGGGATTTCGGGGAAGAAATTCGAATTTTTGTTAATTGACTGAATTTTCAGACTATACCGGGACCAACCGGATATTCCTTCGACTGCCAACACGGCCCCCGTGAGTGCGAGGCCAACACAATTCACGCTTGTGCTATTGATGTGATAAAAAAAACTTCTCTTCAATTGAAATTTCTTGCGTGTATGATCGAGCACAATATATACCCCCAGAATATAACGCGCACGTGTGCTGAAAAACTCCACGTTGATGCTGAGCCAATATTTCAATGCTACAAGAGTCCACGAGGTGCTGAGTTATTAGCGAAATACGGGGAAATGACGCACGCACTGTCACCACCTGTCAAGTTTATTCCCACAATCACTCTTAATAATGTGAGTAAATACTTGGATTCATTTAATCAGTAGAACTATAAATTACACTGAGTAACTAAACGAAAATGTTTGAATGGGAGTCTATCCAAGCAATGAAACTGCAATTAAAAATTAAAAAACAATATTTCAATGGGAATGAAATCTAAGGGAAACGACTGGACTTATGACTAAATGTTGTTATATTTTTTTATAGCTTGTGAGATTTGGCACAAAAAAAAATTTTCTAGAATGCCATTCGTTACCGAAATAATTAGCTATTGAAATAATTGAATGGGTGTCATCTTCTGTTTCAGGATCAGGGCAATCAAATAGAAATATTAAAAGACTTGTTGCACAACGTCTGCAAGCGATTCAAAAAAGTACCTGCTGGTTGTCACTGACTGCAAATGCCAAAAAACCCTAGGAGAAGTGAGTTATCAGTGAGAGATCAGACGAGTAAACTGAGCAATTCCACAAAATATCAAATATTTACAATTTATCAGGAACTGGATACACGAAAGAGAATGTATTGGATAGGTATTCTGTAAATATAAATATCGTAAAGGTTAATTAAGCGATTTCAGGTGTTGATTCAGTCGAGTAGTTGATAGTTGTCCAGTTTTTCGCTGGAGTAAAATCCAGCCCGGACCTGTCTACCCCCGAAAAATCTCCCATTGAGATCCACCACAGCTTTGATAGCACTCTCTATCCTCTTGAACTCGACGAAGATACGAACAGCCTCTTCTGCCTGGACATCTGGCACCTCCTGGATCACAACCCTTGCAACATCTCCATACTTCGTGTTGCACTCGTCCTTAACTTCAGGCTCAAGATCCTCATCGACTTCACCAGGACCTACCATATTCCTAAGAAGAACCACCTGTAAATAATGCAGCATTTTTTTTTAATCAAAATTCAATTTCCTAAATCTCTCCCTCAACTCCATGCAATTAAAAAAAAAACATCTATAAAAAAATACGAAATTATCTCATCACTGACTGATGGTTGAGCCCGATAAATTATGTATAAGTAAGCAGAGTAAATAATAACCTTGCTAGGACTCTTCATGATTTCAGTGATGCTGGGTTCATCACTCCCCTGTCCTGCACTAGGAGGTGATGGAACAGTCGGAGGTGGAGGCATCAGCTGTTCCCTCTCCCCCACGATTCTACCGCCTCTCTTGCTGGTTTTCTCTACCTGAAGAGCAACACTCATCCCCTGCTCCTTCTTTCCGAGGCCCTGTCCCTCCTTGAATCCATATTTCGCCATTATTTTGGCAGCAACAGACGACGTGGCATACCCCATACCTCCACCACCCCTGGGTGGTCCAGGTGATGAAACAGGAGCAGGAGAGGACACGAGAGGCTCTGAGGATTCCTGAAGAGATGGTGGAGGTGCTATAGCAGCCCCCACAGTGACCCTCGACGTCGTAGACCTCTCCTCATCCCTCTCTGGAACAATCATCGTGCTAGTGGTGTTGCCCACTGGCTCCTCAAATCTCGTCGTATCTCTTCGCCTCTTCCGTTGCTCTGCCTCCTGATCATACTCCTTCTCCTTTATGTCCCGCAATTCCTTCACAACTTTGTCGTACTCATTTGGCCACATGGGGTCGTATTCATTCACAACATTCCAATCAAATTCACCGGATGTTGCCGTATTGTTGGGAACCGAGGGGAAGATGTTGTTGGCAACTTCGTCTTCTGGTTCTCGAGTAAGTGCTGTTTTTGATTTCAGGTCTATCACTGGTGGAAGAACTGCTGTTGCTTTACGATATTGCTCACGTCTTGGCTGAGTTGTTGCTGCCTTTTTCAATTGCAGCTGAGACTGTAATAATTTTATCCCCGATGACCATCCCGCCACCTTATCTGCAGCTCTGTGCTTGTCAAAATCGTCGTATAACGACATTTTCGAGGTTTGTTACTTAATTTTTAAAATACATAACCTCTGGTTCTTTCACGATACACACGATACAAACACGCCATAATCCACCATTTTAATAATCACAATGATAAAAACAGATGGAATTGCGAGAAAATTCAAACCAGAGAGGATTGACTAAAGTCGAGGCTCAGTTCTAGGCATTTGAGTGACCCCACCACCATTCTAGAATCTCACCCCAAGGGAGAGAGAGGGCGCCACACGCAATGCGCTGGCGTGTCTGCCCGTCAGCCGACTCGGTAACAGCCTCAGTAGCAGTCCCGCTGTCAGAGGGAGCAGTTGAACGGGTGAGTGTTACCTTCTGCGTTACGAAATTGCTTTCTGTTTTTTATTATAACATTTCCATGCTCCCCTGATACTTTTTTCAAGAATTTTGAATTTTCGAATTTCCGTGAATACCTCCTCGATTCTCATGCTCCCCCGATATTGATAAAATCGCGATTATCTCGCTTCCTATGGGTCCTAGCGCGAAAATAATGCATCCTAGGAAGGATGAATTTCCAAGAATTTCCAAAAAAAAATGTTCAAAAAAAAATTTTCAAAAAAATTTTCAAAAAAATTTCAAAACATCTCAATTTTTTATTAAGAATTTTTTTTATTAATACAATTTTTTTTTCTATTGATTATTCTCAGACTTTTGGAGATTATAGCCTCCGAGAAGTCGAGTTGGTCGAACAAAACAATTGCAGCAGTCGAATTCAAAATCCACTATTGGAACATCGAATTGCAGTCAATTATCTCAATCACCACTAATTTCGGTAATTATCGAATTTGTGAATTACTCTCTTTTCTCAAGAATGCGTATATAGTTTTAGAGTCTTGGTTACTGGAATATTACTTGTAATTGTTGAGAATGGACGAATGAATATTCCTGAACAATTTTTTATTATTTTGTATTCATTTATATGAATTCAATGATTCAATTCATCAGAAATTCAATAATTTTTCTATTTTTCCACTCATGTTTTAGGTTTTCACGACGGATGCGCAGTTCTCCAGGTAGCAGAGAAAAAGAATATCAACGACGATGGCATGACTCGTGGAGAAAACATAAACCACTGGAGAAGTCGGTAAATAAACGTCCATACCCTCCTCCAGGAGGCCTCCACCACTTGTCAAATGCGCCTACACCTGGATAACAGCTAGAATCCACATTTTCAGACAACTCCAAGAAAATAATTATCATAAATACATGATATGAACTAATTATAATATGTAAAATTGAATTGTATCGTTTTCGTAATGAATGTTTATAAATAAAAACAAAAAAACGGAATGAATCATCATTATTGGTGTTATTATTATTATCCCTAACCGAGTTATTATTATTATTATTATTATCGATCCTAGCGCCATCTACGGGGCGGGGGTGGGGGCTCCAGCACCCATAAGTGCCTATGTTGGACTTCAGTAGGGTTTGAATGATTTGACATCGATTAAATTTGAAATTTTCAAACTTCCGTGGATACCTCCTCAATTCTCATGCTCCCCTAATACTTTTTGAAAAATTTTGAATTTTCGAATTTCCATGAATACCTCCTCGATGGGTCCTGGAGCAAATTTTTGAAAAATGGCCTTCCCCCTATACTCTACACCCCCGCTGGCATACGATTCTCCATCATTTGAACCCTGCTGGAACGCGAAATATGCACTTTTATGTTTTCCAGCGCTCCAAAGAGAAAAATGCAAATATCTCGGCTCCTATGGGTCGGAGAGCAAAATCCTTGAAATCTGGACCCCCCCTAGAGTATACACCCCCG